GAATTATTGGAATGCGGAAAACAGGGCGTGGGATGTAGGGATAAAATTCAGAATGTAGAATATAGAGTACCAGATAATTTAACATTGAAAATGGAACAGAGATACGAAATATGGCTTGTGGGATATGGAACATGGAGAGTGAGGATATGAAATGTGAAACGTGGGATATATCAGGAACCTAGTACTTACTTGAAGTGTTGTCACATTCCTCTTATCGAATGATTCTATTAGGGCATTGTAAATTTCATCTGCTTTTGAGTTGAAGAGCTTGTCAACCACATGGTGTCTGTAGAGAGCCTTCTGTGTTTTGCTTGGAGGAACAGATGCCATCTTTTATGATAAAAGATCACCCAATTCTATGCAACGTTCTGTGTCACACACACACTTAGTAATTAAGTAACAAAATCTGAATAATTTTTGTCGAGGGGAAAAGAAATTGCATTAACGCGACATTAGACTCTGAAGATTTGATTAAACGTTTTCTAATCATTATATAAATCTTTGTCCAAGTTATGTACATGAAGTGACGATCACGTCTATGCATTTAAATTACTGCAGTTGCTTTGAAACCATGTAAAAGTAAATAGAATAGAATCACAGAGAGAATGGTAACGAATCCAGCTCACTCATGGCACCAGATTTAAGCTTGGTCGCCTTGTAATCGTCTTGTGTTCGCCTCGAATTTTGCTTGAGAAATTATACACGGTTCTACTTTGCAAATATTTCACGACAATATTTCGATAGAATATTCCATCAATTTTTCTTTAATATTTCGTCAAAGACTAGAAACGGAATTCATCGGAAAAGATTACGGGACAATTGATATTCATCGTGGACCATTAATGGACTTTGAATTTAAGTTACTTCTCACGTCTATCTTCATTCGGTTCAGCCGGGAAATGATCTAACTTTATTTATATCGTCGATTAATTCGACAGTCTACGCCTTCGACAGCGTTTCATAAGGTTTCTTAAATTAATTTCGGCTTCGTCCTCTCTCCAATTGCTCTCCAGCTGTAGTCGTTTCCTAAATTCGTTACTTTCAAGTTTCATAAATTGAGGAAGTCGACTAGCAAATGGATATTGCCTGCAATTAAGCCGTTTGTCGACTGCAACTCGCACAGCGGAATAATTGGCATCGACTCGTACTCGGAAAATCATTTATAATCTCGTAATACTACCGATACAATGTTTCGATTGGTCGAAAGACACAGCTGTCTTTGCAAAAGGTGGCTGTTTCGAAGCCAATTCTATCTCTTTTTTCTTTTTCTTGTTTTTTAATATATTTTATCAAAATTTACATAGAGCTGTCCAATTGGAATATTTTGGAAATTCATCGAATAATGTTTAACTCTTAGAAACGCTAAAGAAACATCTCAGGACGGAAAGATGTGTGTATATATATATATATATATATATATATATATATATATTTAACGAGATTTGTTAATTAATTTTAATTTTCGTGTAAAAGTGTTTACGCTATTTTAAAATTAGACACTTTTACTCGATCATTAATTATTAAGTCGAGTCGTTCTGTGTGTGTGTGTCAACCGATCAGTCGATCGTGATTTTCTTCGATATGTGTCAGTTTCGAGATTTTTCGTGCCGTTCCTCGACGTCGGTTTCTTGATTGGGCGCTTCCATCACCGGAGATAAAGGACTGTTTATGGATAATTGTCTGAAAATTTTTCGAAACACAGAGGGGAAGATAATAATCACGAAAAATCGTCGAAAGATGTATCATTCGGATTATTCACCTGCGGTTTGTTTGCCAGTTGTAAAAACCCGGCGCGGACTTGCTTCTTCCTGTTTTAGAAAATCGTTCCCACATTGGATTCTTTGTCGTCTTCCTTTCTGGCGAGGTCTCCTCGGTACCCGTTGTTTTTTCACTTTCCTTCGGCAAAAAAGGATTCTGAAAATCGGAAAATAAACCTTCGTTAGGTAGGAAATTTATACAACGATGATCATTAGTAATTTTCCCGCAAAATATTTATATCTCGTCAGACGTACAACTTTAAAACGAAATTTTGCAATAATACCATTTGAAAATTGTTTTAAAAAACTTCCATTGCTACAGATTGTCTACTATTTGCTAGATCTTTTTTTTTCGAAACCTCAGTGCACGATAACGTTAACGAAACGTGACATTATTAAGGCAGAGATAAAAGGGACTCGAAGGATCCAATAATCCTTCGAACATTATTCTCGATTCGAAGAATAGAATTTCACAAAAGATCTCGCTGTTCGCTCGAAAATCTTTACGAATTTTCAATCTACTTTCGTCAGAGATCGTCTCAATCTTCGATGGAAGCTGATAAGAGAAGCAGAAAAGAAGCGAGAGAAAGAGAGAGAGAGAGAGAGAAGAGAAAGAGAAATAAAATGAGAAAAAGAGTTC